TAAGCAGTCCCTGGAAACAATAATAATGAACCATAAGCAACAGGCTGTGCAAAACATCAGGGTCCCTTTCCCAGTTACCAGCTACCCAAGAAGACTGTGACACCATCCACTGGGGGGCAAGGGTCTGAGTATTCAGCTACTAAATATGAGACCCACCTTCTCCCACTCCCAGAATAATACATATCACAGCAAAAATCTTGAGGCATAACCCTGAGGGGGAAACTGGATCCAGAGGAAGCAGGAGGGACTGCCACAGCAGGAAGAGACAAGGCCATTCCAAACAGGAAACCAAACAGGCAGCTGGGTGGAAAGAGGTGGTGCTTCAGCCCCCGAGAGCCGTGCTGTGTCCACCTCCAGTGCCTACACCAGGGGACTGAAGACCTATCAGAAGGCAAGAGCTGACTTTAGAAACAATTACTTCTTTTTTTTTAGACAGAAATTTGCCAACATCTATCAAAACAGTTCTTTAATGCATAGTCTCTTTGAGCTACACTATGCTACTAAGATGGTACCCTACAGGTACACTCTTACCATCACTTACATACTAGCAAGCCTACTCCAAAACATTACACATAAGAATTCTCACTGAAGTATTTTATATGAAAGGAAAAAATGGTAACATTAATGTCCACCAATAGAGGACTAAATACGTTACCGTTCATCCATATGATGCCCAGATGAAAAGAATAAGACATACCCATACAGAAGGGTCTGGAAAGAACTGCCATTTCCCAACTGAGAACTTAATTTTGTACTACATCAAGAAAAAGTACAATGAGTACAGAATGCTTCTATTTGGGTAAGTTAAAAAGCATAATATCTATCTTCTGTGGGGGTACCCAAGATAGTCCCCCTGCCCCTTCAGAAAGAGGCCTAGGAGAAGGCTGACTCTGCATTTTATACCTTTGTGTCCTGTGTGAATTTTTTACCATGGGTATAAGTTGCTTTTATTGAATACATTGCGTAGAGCTTTAAAATAAGGGTACAGAAATGTACCGTAACATGGAAAGATGTTCAGAATATACTGCTAAGATTTTTTTTTAGCTGGAAAATACACACATGCGATGAAAAGGATCAGGAAAGTACACACCACAGTGCTGCCCAGGGTTCACTCTGGGTAGGATTGTGGTACTTTTTCTGCTCTTTCTGCCTGTCTGCTTTTTCTCTAATAATCAGGAGTGGTTTTGTATTAAGATATCAAATAACAACAGCAGTAATAATAATAACAGAAAAAGAAAGTTTGTCTTGGAGAAGGAACAAGAGCAGAATTCAGAGGCAAAGCTGGGGGCCACAGACAAGTAAAGGCAGAGGCCAGCTAGCCAGACACTAGGGAGGACGAGGGAGGCAGGACATACCTGCCCTTGCATCTGGACATAAAGCAGCTCTGGACATGGTCCTCCTTCCCCAAAGTGCATGTGGTGGTAGCAGCAGTGATGGTGACCTAAGGAGTCCTGTCCCTCTGCCAGGACCCAGCTCTGAGGCTCTCCTACCTCAGAAGTCGAGCCTGGCCTGGTGGCTCCAGAGCATGGCCCTGGGTGGCGTCTACTTCTGCAGGAGGTTCTCCTCTTTGTCCCCGTGATCCCCAAATCACCCCAGAAACAGGGCAGGATGTACTGCTCCCATCATAGAGAGGAGAAAACAGGCCCAGTGTCACTCAGCTCCAAAGCATTGCCCAGTCTGATCCCTAGTTCTGATCTGGAAGGTCTACTTGTAGTTTGTTGACTTAAGACACCTCCTAAGGTAAGACATGGGCCCAGGGAAGCCTGTGGCCACAGGGGCTGACACTGCCCCTTGTGTGTGACCCTACTAGGTTCCCGCAACTCCACTTAACAGTAGGACAAGGCAGCAGCTCTGTCTCAAATGCAGTAATGGCAGAGAGCACCAGGTTCCATCTAAAGTCAAGGAGTGCAAGACCAAGGAAAGAAAGCAGGCGCACATCTGTGGGTGGGTATGGGGGTGGGAACAGGGATCATTATTTGTTCCTTCCTTCTCTAAACACTGCACAGTCTTACCTTCACATTGCTTCTCCCAATGCCTTTTCATCGAGGTCTTACCAGCCTCCGCATTGCCATTCCACCTTAAAAATATGACTTCCCTGCTGCACACAGCTGAGGGTTGCACAGAAAGCTATCCCAGAGATGGTCACTGGCTCCACAGAAGGGCTGCACACCAGGGAGGCCCTCAGCCTGAAGTCACGCTGACCGAGCCAGGGAAAGTAGGAGGGCTCACCATGCAGTGAGGGGGCAGACTCCACATGCTCCTGGGAGGCAGGCTCCCAAAGGGGAAGAGAAGACACACATCTCACTTCCCCGTCCCAAGATGACTAAACACCCCGAGTCTAGCAGAGACAGCTGGCGATCTGTCTACACTGTCTGGTTGTTGGGATTTGGTGACTACCTGGCACAGGCTTCCAGGCATAGGTTTCCAGTGGAAAATGCCAACTCTAGCCACCAACTCCCCTCAGTTACTAATTCAAAGGGCCGCCTTATGTCCAAACACGGCTTGGAAGCTGTAGAATGTAATAGTTATAAACACTGGCTCTGGAGTCAACACTGTCTGTGTTTGAACCCTGCTTCTGTCTCTACCAGCTGTGTGACCCCAACAAATTACTTCACCTATCTGTGCCTTAGTTTCCTCAGCTGTTGTACATATTAAATGAGATGATGAACATAAAATGCTTTTCACAGGGTGTGACCCAAAGTGAGAGCTCAATAAACACTAGCTAAAAATAATTCACCAGGCTATCTGCATGCACACGTGTGCACACACACCTAACCATGCTACAGAACCCAATCTCTACGACAACATCAAGGCCAGGGAACACCAGGATGATGAATGTGTTCCCAACTGCATCCTCCCCACTCTCCCCCAGGTGAGTCTCACCATCAGACTGTGAAAGGAGAAAGGAAAGAAGACACAGATTTTGAACGTAGGGAAAAGCCAGGACAGAAGAACCTGGGAGACTTTGTTAAAGGCAGGGGTTCGGCATACTCCCCAAACCTCAGATGATTGTGTCAGCCAATTAAAAAGGATGGGATATGGCCGTGTGTGCATGCATGCACACTCTGTGTAGAAGGAGAGGGCAGGGGAGAGGAGACAAGGAAGAGAGTGAATTCCTGGCATCTAAGCACTCTCCCTTTGCCACCGCACCAGCAGACGTTGACGCACTGACCTGGGCCTTAGCAAGCTCTTGGCTCCTGCTGAAGCCAAGCATGAGCACACCCTCAAGAAGGGAGCCTCTTCAAAGGCTGGGCAGGGGAGTCCTCTCCAGGGAGAGAAAGGGCTCCCTGAGAAGAAGTGGAAGGTAGGGGGGAATATGCAGGGAAAAGAGGGCACAGGAGGGACAGCAGAGAGCCAGGAGAGGGAAGGTTCAGAGCCAGGAAGGTCAGCAGAATCCAGAATTAGGGTGACTGGGGAATGTCCTTCACAAAAATCATCATCATCAAGATCATCTTAACAACTGGTCCCATTTGTGTCTTGAGAAACAGACTTCAGACAGAAATGAGAGTCTCTTCAGGCTCCCGAAGTCTGGGGTTTGATCAGAGAACAAAAGAATGACAAGAAACACAGCAAATGCTTGTTGCCTTGTGGACCAAAGGGCTAACTCGGTGCAGGGAGCTGACAGGTGGGCAGCCAGCAGGCCCTCAGCTGATTTCCAGACATTGGCTGTACCGGAGACACAGAACAGAACAGCAGCCATGACAGTGTTTGTCTGGGCAGGGGGAAGAATGAAATGCTTTACTGCAAAGGAAAAAGGTGGCCATGATTGACTCTATTGATTAAAATGACCAGACCCATTTCCCAGGCTACTCATGATCTTGGTTTTCAAGTTGAAATAAACAGCAATGAAGATTTCTTTCCAGCTAAACACGGTGGACTGAACATTCACATTCATCTCTACTCTCTCCCAAAACCCCACTAAAATAACAAGATGACAGGCTCTAGCAGAGAGGATGTCTCCAAAAAAAATAAAATGGAATCAACAGATTATCTGCTATACTGAGAAGGACTGTTCAGTTGTATCTGTCTTACAAGAATTAGTGGCAGTAACACTCACTATGCAAAAGAAAAAGGCAGGCCAGCCCAGTGGCCTAGTGGTTAAGTTCAGCACACTCTGCTTTGGCAGCCCAGGTTCACCTCCCAGGCATGGACCTACACCTCTCTGTTAGCAGCCATGCTGTGCTGGCAGCTCACATACTAAAAAAGATAGAGGAAGACTGGAATGGATATTAGCTCAGGGTGAATCTTCCTCAGCAGAAAAAAGAAAGAAAAAGGCAATTATTAACTGTCTTTCTGATTGAAAGCAAAGTTTTCTGATAAAATAACTGTAAATACATAGCTCAGTTGTAGAAATGACATTAGGAGAATAAAAAGAGGGGAAGAGTATATGAAAGCTCAATTTTATTCTGTGAGAAGTCAACAGATAATATCTAAAACTAATAAATCCAAAAATAGTGGTACAAACGTTTTATTTAGATAACTGGATGTAAACCGTAGATGAAGCAGCTTATGGCAGAATCAGAACCTGCATTTTAATTCTTTTAGAAATGAAAGCGAGTGGCTCTAGGAGTAAGACATGGTGTGCAAAGGCAGAGCAGGGGACTCTCACTTATCATGATAAGCCTTGCAATAGCATTTGACTTTTAAAATTGTGTTCGTAGAACACTTTGATCAAAATAGAAATTTTCTTAAACAACAGCAAAAAAGATTTATTTAAAGATTTAGCTCAAATTACTCTTCCCCCACGAAGTCTTCTCAGATCTCCTTCCTCTTCTCTCATGAAAATTACTGTCTGTATCATCCATCTGGCAATTAATCATCTTCCACTTGGCAATGAGCTAAGCTCGTCCATTGTTAATTATCTTTCCACCTGTGTCTAACTAAAATTATAACTGCTTCATAGCAGAGCACACCTCTCACGATCTTCAAGGAGTCCACAGCAGACCAGGTTATGAAATCCACAAGCTCGGAGGAAGCACAGGAGCCCCGCCCCCCATTACCTGCATAAGCGTTGGCCTGCTGCAGAAGGTCGGTGCAGGTATGCACGTCGGCAAATGCTCGGATGCCCAGGCAATTGGTGGGATGCAACTGAGACTGCAGGAAGTCACAGCAGTTCTGCCGAACATCCATAAGCTGCAGCAAGCTGGCTGCTGGGAGCAGCACCTGGAGGAGAAGGGGACATTCTGAGACACGGGATCCCACTGGCAGGGCCTCATCTCCCTGAAGCACTGTTCCAATCATACCGCTCCATGGCTCTCCAGTGGCTGGCCAAGTCAGTCCAAACTTCCCAGCCTGGCCTTCAGGGCAGCCCCCGCCTTATTTCCCACTACTCTCCACTTCATGGATCCTAAGCGTCAGCAGATTTTTTGTATCCCTACAGCCCACAGCAGTGCTTCCCAATCTCTCATGTGTATAAGAATTCCCTGTGGGTCTTATTAAAATGCAGATTCTGATTCAACAGGTCTAGGATGGGGCCAGAGAGCCTGCATTTCTAATGAGCACCCAGGTGATGCTTGTAGCTGCTGGTCCATGAACCACACTTTGAGTAACAAGATCCTTATGGACTGAATGTTCGTGTACCCCACCCCAAATTTATATGTTGAAGCCCAAACCCCCAGTGTGACTGTATTTGAAGATAGGGCCTGTGGGGGGGTGACACAGGTTAAATGAGGTCAGAAGGGTGGAGCCCAAATCCCGTAGGGTGGTATCCTCCCAAGAAGAAGAAGAGAGACCAGAGGTCTCTACCATGTGAGCACACAGGGAGAAGACGACCTTCTGCAAGCCAGGAAGAGTCCTCACCAGAAACTGAATCAGTTGGAACCTTGATTCTGGACTTCTAACTTCCAAAACTGTGAGAAAATAAATTTCTGTTGGTTAAGCCACCCAATCTGTGGCTATTTTGTCATGGCAGCCCAAGCTGACCAAGACAGATTGGCTCTCCTACTGGAATCAGCTAGAGAATTTTTAAAATACCGAAACCTGGGTCTCACCCCTAAAGATTCTAACTTAATAGGAACGTGGTGTGGCCTGCATGGTGAGTTTTTCAAGCTCCCCAGGTGCCTCTAATGTACAGCCAAGTTTGAGAGGCAGGGCCTCACAGCCTTTAGCATACTGTCCTTACCCAGAAAGGTACTTACTGAATTCATCACTAGTTCCTTCACCACTTAATTACTGACCATCTGTGTGCCAGGCACTGGGCTAGGCTCTGGGATTTAGCGGTAAGTGAGAGACATCAGATCCCTGCTCTCATGGAGCTTAAAATCTACTGGAACAAGTCTCACCTCAGGAACCAGGAAATCAAATTTTATTCTCCCATCCAACAGATATATATTAAAAAAAATCTTAGGGTACATTCTCAGAAAAAGGAGAGGTGGGTTTCCTTTTAAAAGATCACAGGACACACGAGTATTTATATTGCATCCTGGAAGACAGAAATAGCTCCTGCTCAGGTGTGTGTGCATGTGTTTTTCCTAAAAGCCAGGGAAGACTGGCTTGAGCAGGCTGGATAGGTGCTCAGACTGCCAAGCCCTATCAAGTTTCCCTAGGACTGTCCCACAGCCACCGAAGCCTGCCGTCTGGATCAAACGTCCAGGAGAGACGGCCAGAGTTCTACTTGACCCCAGCTCTGTTCCTCCTCACCCCTGCCCTGTGGAAGGGGTAGACAGCCTGAGGGTGACTTTCCAAACAGAAATTTAGGGAAAAAAAAGTCACAGAATAGAATAGCTTGACTTGAGGCTGCTTAGCTTGGGGACCCCAGCATCAATTTCACCTCAAAACAGCCCCCATGTCCTGGGCCTTTGCTCTCAGCTGCTCCCCTGGCACTCAGAGAGTCTGGGCCAGCCAGACTCCAGCTGTTCCCATCCACGAGGGCTTGCCCAGGAAGACAGGGGCTGTAGATGTACTCATTTTCTTGAATCAGGGCACTATTGAAGTCTTTTTTTATTTTTAAGTGATTTAAATTCTGGACCCTGACCTCCTCCCAAACAGCTCTGAACCCTCTGCTCTAGCTCTGGTCACCTCCACAGGCTCAGGCCAAAGATTCTGCCCCACTGCCCATTCCTGGGATGTATCCCCCAACTAGGGTATCTAGCCGTCCAGGTTTGCCCAGGACATGGAACTTCTAGTGCTAAAACTGGGATGGTTGGTCACCCTTCCGCATGCCTGCCCACTCACAGAAACCATCAAGAGCCTCCACTATGAGTGGTCCTACTCCTCAGCTAAACGCCTGCTCTCCAGAAGGTAGGAAAGCTCTTCTCACCGACAAGCTTAAACTCCCTCACAATGGCTGAGCTCTAGAAAACATGCTCTTCTCCTCCTCCTCACTCTCTCTCTTCCACTTTCCTATGTCTCCAGCAGCAGGAGAGCAGTAAATTAGCATCATGTCCTTGGTATTTTCTAAACCACTGATTCATTCCAGAGAAGGAAAAAGATAAAATCACCCACTCTTGAAAGTTTTAGACCGTAAGTGAACACAGCCTGATTCCAAATCTGCCCACCTGAACTCCATCCCCACTAGGCAGCCATAAACTGGGAGACTCAATTAATCTGTGAGCTTGCTCAGCCTAGCCAGGCAGATTCCAGAACCAGATTAGTCTCTGCCTCCCAGTTAAGTGGAGAACCATTAACCATTCTTGCTGAATAAAAACCAGGAATAGAAAGCTGTGTTCCAAACCCCCAAATGACCTCCATGACCCCCCTGACCAGCTCCAGCTACAAACCCTATAGTTAGGGCCATAGGTTAACCAACCACCTGGTTTGCTGAGACTTTGCCAATTTCAGCACTGAAAGTCCTCTGTCCCAGGAGACCTTTCAGTCCTGGGCAAACGGGGATGGCTGTTCACCCTAGGGACCAGGAACTTCCAACCAGTTACACTAAGAAGTCCTGGCGGAAAGGAGTAATCAAATGTTGTCCAGCACACACCCTACTCAGTGGTGTGGCAAGCCCCCAAAGGGTCAGGGGTGAGAAGAGGCAGGAATGGGACAGCAGCCTGTTAGCCCCACAGAGGAGGATTTCTGAAAGTCCAAATCACCCCCCTAGTAGCACCCCCAGCCAAGCGAAGATGAGACAAGACCGTGCCAGGGACGTCCACTCCCCTCCGCCTTGCCCTCTTCTCCATCACGAGGACAGCGGCACAGTTCGGTGCTTAAATTCTCAAGCTCATGACCACCAGCCAAAGAAATGAAATAATAAAGACTTCCTGAACACACTCCTGAGGTTAGACTTTTAGTTTTTAAAACCTCCCTGGATAGAGCTACCCACATAGCTTTCAACTTCCCTACTGCCACAAAACCCACAGCAGGCAAGAATTATAAAGCTTTCCACCTCTCCACGCCCCCCATCTGGTTCGGGTCCGCTCCTGCCTGAAAGTGTTCCCGAGCTGAGTTCCCAAAATGAACGGGGCTTGTGGTTTCTCTAATTGCTCCTTCCCTCTCTTTGATCTTACGCTGCTGTGATTAGCTATGACTCAAAGGCGCTTTTCTTCCCACCACTACTCGCTTCAAACAGGAAGGGGTGAAGAAAAGTAAAGGAAGACAGAATGCTGAGGGGGAAGGTTTGGAGGCTGGGAGACACATCACTGCTCAAAGTCCGAGTCGCAGGGATTAACTGCCGCCGGGTCCAGTGGGGTGCTGCAAAATCAAATCCGCAGAGGCTAAAGACAAGAGAGCAAAACATCCATGAGGAGTCTCCACTTCCGTCTCCCACATCCACAGGGCTTTGAGAGGATTTCCTCTTCGCTTATCTTGCCTGCAACTCGACTCCCTCAAGCGGCAGCAGTAGCAAGATTGTGAACAAGAGGCCAGGCTCAGGGCCTCAGCTTTGAAGCAAGAGTGTCCTGGTGGAATCACCAGGGCAGTACTGTTGGGGCCCTGGGCAGAGGAGGCTGAGACGGGAGGAGAAGTCAGCTGGAACCACCGCAGGACAGAAGAGGACCCTGAGTCAGAAAGCTTTGAGCTTGCCTCTCACCACCTCCGCGTTATGGTTCTCGGAAAACAGGCCTTGGAATGACCCTCGGCAAAGAGTTTACAGGTGCCCCTCCAGCTTGCAAATGGCCTCCCCTCCATTTTTCATGTGGAGGCCCCGTTTTGTTTTTTCTCTCCCTCACATAACATGAAAACACAGCAGAGGATATCCCGTCACAGAGTTTGTTTCCTTTAACAAAAACAAAAGGAAATGCCCTGCCTCAGAAAGCACCTACTCATGGAATTTCAGGGAGGCAGGGCCATGCAGAGAGGGAGGGCACCAGCCAGAGGGCCCGGTGACCAGGCTGCCAGGGCCTCTGCCCCAGCCACACAGTGGGTCTGTCTCTGCAGCATGAGGCATAAGGCCCGGCACAGAAACAGTGCTGAATAAAAAGCTGTTGAGAAAAAGAAGAAAGAGAGAGAGAGGTGTATAGATGAACAGAAGAGCCACTAGAACAGCACTGGGATTAAACGTCTCACTTAGAATTCTGACTTCTCCACTTACCTAAGGGCCGGTTACGCAACCTCCCTGTGCCCCTGTCTCCTCACCAGGAGAACGAAGACGCTAACGGCACTGCCTTAAAGGCTTGTTGTAGGGAGTGAGTGAGATAATACATTTAAAGCGGTCAACACGGTGCCTGGTGCATAGGGAGCACTCAAATTAGCTTTCATTAATTTTTATGAGCTGAAGTCAAGGTTCTGATCATTTATTTACCGAGAAGCTAGAGTTTACCACAGCAACAGAGCACAGCGAGTCGGAGAGAGCTGGATTCAAATCCCAACTCTTCCGCTTACTACTCCCGTGAGCATCAGTTCCTTCAACTGTACAAGAAGGACCGTATCAGAGCATTCCATTGGTGGTTATGAGAATTAAATCAAATAAGGCACGTGAGGTGACTGACGCACGATTGCCAAACAACGAGTATTGACCAGGTCAGTCATGACAGTTGCTACCACTACCACGGAAAAGCAACTCAGTGTCTGCAAGGTGTGTGTGGCCGGGAAGAGATAAAGGGCGTAGCTCTCCCAGCCGTTCAGCCAAGCCCCAAATCTGACCCTTGTTTTGAATGCTTTCAGGAGAGCCCCAGTGCCTCCGTGCTCACCTCAGGGCACCAAATCCTCAACAAATATCGTCTTCATAGACAGCTGGTGGGCAACTGCCTCAGCGGATACATAACAGCGTCAAGAAGCCACATTTTGATCCACACATTCTCTTCTCCATCTTTTTTTTTTTTTTGAAGTATAGTTGACATAGAGTTTTATGTTAGTTTCAGGTGCACAGCACAGTGATTCAACATTTACATACATTAAGAAAAGATCACCGTGATAACTCTAGTGACCCTCTGTCACCATTCAAAGTTATTGCAATATTATTGACTATATCCCCTATGCTGTGTATTACATCCCCATGACATTTATTTTATAACTGGAAGTTTGTACCTCTTAATCGCCTTCACCTATTTTGCCCAACCCTCACCCCCTTCCCCTCTGGCAACCACCAGTTTGTTCTCTATATCTGTGTCTGTTTCTGTTTTTAACCTTTTTTCTTTTGTTTTCCCCAAGGTCACCCCTGACCAAATGACAGTGGAAAGGGAGGAGGAAAGGGAATAGTTAGGATATCTCCCTGATTCCAAGCAACGCAGTTCCCTGAAGGTTCCACATTGTGCCTTCCAGCGGAGCCCCCGCAGATGCTGCCCCCTCCCCACCCTGCACGCAGATGAAAACAGCAGGCTCCGCGAGGGGCTCAATACCAGTAGGGACACAGACAAGTGGGCAGAGGAGGCAGGCCTGACCGCCCAATCTTCCTTCAAGATTCGGCCCAAACAAGGCTTCCTCAGTGAGGTCTGCCTCCTCCTCAAGGTGGCGAGGACCATTCTCTGCTTCCTGGGTACCTCCACCCTGACCCCTACCACACTGTAGGGTACCCATGCTTAGCCATCTGTCTCCACCCTCAGACCACACGCTTTTTGGTGAAAGGGCCTCTGTGCTCATAGTGCTCTCTGTGCCCATACTGCCTGCTGGCCCAGAGTAGCACTCTTCTGAGTGCTTTACCTATATTAATGCATTTAATCCTCACACCAACCCTATGAGGTTAAGTGCTATTATTATGCCTGTATTACAGATGAAAACACTGAGGCACAGAGAGGTTAAGTAACTTGCTTTGGGTCATACAGCTAGAAAACGCTAGAGCCAGGATTTGAAGGCAGACAGTCTAACTCATGACCACTGAGTAGAATGGGTACTATTACAATTCCTGTTTTACAGATGAGAAAACTGATCCTTAAGGCAGGATGTCAGTGGGAGTGTTGAGCTCTGGTAAGATGGAGGGAAAACAAATCAGAGGCCAGCAGACTTAGTGTCTTCTCTGGCCAGAGGTCACTGAGACCCATGCCCTCATTTTACAGATGGGAAACTGACACCCCGCAGTGGGAAAGGGCTAGAATAAGAGCACTCTGTAAATTAATGGCAAAGTTGAGGCTCGGACCCAGGTCTCCATTCATATCCAATTCTTGCCTCATCCCTGAACCTGCACATCTTCTCTCTGGCCCTCTACCCTCACCCCTACAAAATAGTTTTAAAAAGCAATGGTGAAGCCATTTTCTCCAGAGTCTTCTGATTATGCTACCTATGCTACCTACCTTAAGATCACAGGTTTTGTAGAGACCACCACTGGGTTAGACCAAAGTTGCAAAGATAAATACCTAGCCAGGCGATAAGGATCCAGAGTGGAACATCTTCTAATTATCCAAGTTTGTAAACACTTTGTACTTTACAGGAAAAAAAAAGCAAAACAGTTTTTAAATAAATGCATGATGAAAAGGGAGAAAAAAAGCTGGTTCCAATCATACAATTCTACAACCTCCCCTGGACTGTTTTTGGTGGGGGGAGGGGGGTTTGGTTTTGTTTTGTTTTTTTAGTGGCTTAAAACAACACAAATTTATTTTCTTACAGTTCTGGAAATCAGAAGTCCCAAATGGGTCTCATTGGACTAAAATCAAGGTGACAGCAAGGCTGCGTTCCTTCTGGAGGTGCTGAGGGAGAATCTGTTTCCTTGTCTTTCCAGATTCTAGAGGCCACCCACATGCCTGCCTTGTGGCCCCCCAATCTTCAAAGCCAGGAATACTGAGTTGCGCCCTTGTCAGATGACATCTCTCTGGGTCTCCTTGTTCGGCCTCCCTCTTACACTTTAAAGAGCCCTTGTGATTACAGTGGGCCCACCTGGATAATCCAGAGTCCTCTCCTCATCATATGTTTAGCTGATTAGCAACATTAAGTCCATCTGCAAGATTGATTCCTCTGACATTTAACCTAACATTCACAGACTCTGCGGATTAGGACATGGACATCTTTGGGGGCCGTAATTCTGCCTATCACACTATATGATTAATGAGTTACTGATATACCCTAAAGCAAGATTTTAAAAAATTATGTACCACCTGCACATTTAGAGGTTGACATCTACTAGCATTGCAAAGAATGTAATTTCTTACATCTTGTAAATCTCAATATTTACATCATGCTTAAAAGTATCTAAATGAATTTAAGTGTGATGGTGATTTGATATAACCATCATCCACTTAAAATTTTTCCAATGCATGTCCTATACTCATTTTATACTAAATCACCTTGCACTTACTGATACTATGCAAAAGTCATTCAGCTGTTTGAATTCTGCTGCTAGATCTAAGATGTAACCTTTGCATTGCCCACTCCATTATGGATGGGAAAGACCAGAAACAAAGTAGAATGGCTGTGCTGTTCACTGGGTATGAAATATACCTCAATTTAAAAACGGTAGGGGGAGGATTAGACCAGATCACTGTAGAAACTGTATAACCCAAGAATTAGTCCATGGGCCAGACACAAAGAGGCAGTCTCCATTGTGGGGCAGGCTCTGCAGGCCCAATTGCGGTGTGCCTCAGACCCTCTGCTTGCCTGCACCTTGACCCCTTATGAATATCCTTCACCACACCAAGCTAACTCCCACTCATCCTGCAGGCCTCAGCTTAAATCTTCTCTCCTGAAATCCCAGATCCCCACCCCCACCCAAATTGAGTCCCCTCTGATACTCCATGTTCCTTTCCTTCAAAGGACTTATCACGATTTGTGCATAGCCATTACTTGTGTGCTTATTTGATGAGCATCTGTCTTCACCCCTAGACCGCAAACTCCATGAGATCAGGCAGTGGAATCGCCACTGTTACAACCACCGTGCCCAACAAACTGCCTGGTACATAACAGGCACGCAAACATTTGGGCTGAATTGAATGAACAAACGATTATCAATTTGGCCTCCCAAATACCTTGATCCTGGAGAAGAGGGTGGTGTTTCTAGATAACGGAAAGAGGTACTTTGGTCACTGGAGAGATATCTGCCTCACAATAAATAAGGTGGAATTGAGCTTAAAAAAAAGAAAAAAACCTTCATGTCATTTGTAATTTCCATTTCTTTAATTAAATAGAAAGATCCTTAATGACAAGAAATAGTCTATCTCATGTCTGTGTTTAGCCCAGTGATTCGTGGGGTTCGAGAGTGGGCCACAGCCTCAACCATCTCCCCTTCTGACGCACGACGCTGATGCCTCATGCCCCCACAGTAAAGATGCACGCCTTTGGGTGAAGCGGTGTTTTCACTGGCTCCTCTTTCCAAGGCTCCAGACGGCTGAGGATGAGGTCAGAGCAGCGAAAGGAGGAAAAGGCATAGACAACATGTGTCACAGCCACACACCCCTGCTGAGACTCAGGCCTGGTGCTTGGTACCTCCACATGCTCAGAGGCATTCAGTTGACTAATGTTGAAACAGGAAAAATTTTTAACAGCCTCACAACTCAATATGCAAAATCCTTGAGATGAGATGATGACTAGGGAGAAGGGGAGTTACCCAGGCTTCTAGTTCTTTCTTCACCAATAATTTGAACCAACATGAGTTAAAGACTTTCTGCTCTGGGGCCCAAGCTCATTCTGAGGTATTACAGCCTAGTGGTCAAGAGCATGCATGCTAGGGTCAGGCAGGCATGAGTTTGAGAGTCATTCACCCACCTACTGGCCATGTGACCTGGGGCAAGTCACCTAACCTCTTTGGAGCTTTTGTTTCCTCTCCAGTTACCAACTGATTTGTTGTGAGGGTTAAATGAAATGATGCTATAAAACAGTGGGCCCTGAGTGCGTGATACACTAAGCTATTAGCTGGCTCTGAGTTTACCTGGACATTCTCTTCAGTCACCTCAATTTCAGCCGTATAGATGTAGTCAATCAGCTTACTCAGCGTCTGCCCATCCACATCCTTGATTTCAATCTTCTTGGCTTTACTCTCAGACATGTCACCTAGAGTTCAAAACAAAAACAAAATGGACATGAACTTGGCACCTAACGGCTCTGGGAGGGAGCAGAAGAGATTCAGGCATAGAGGAGGATAAACCAGCTGACATCAAGGTCACATCCACTTTGGGTCTGTGACCATCCTCAAACCCAATTTTAAGCATTCCCCACTCTATCTGTTGCCCATTTCCGTTTTGAAGGCATATCTGTATGCAATGACTCATTCAACCAACATTTACTGTAAACTTGTACACACAGGGCCAGGAAGTGAACAGATGCACACCTGTCTTCAAGGAGGAAATGGTCTAGTAGAGAAGATATATAAAAATATTTATAAACAGAGGTGATAAGAACTTAGTAGAGGTATACGCAAAGTACCATGATAACAACAATAAAAAGTAACATTCATTGGGTGCTAACTACAGCCAAGCATCGTGCTAAGCACTTTAAAGTGCTGCCTTTTTAAATCTTCACAACAATCTATGAGGTTTACTAATATTATCCCCCATTTTACAGATGAAAAAACTTAGGCACAGGAGGGTAGGTAATTCATTTCACCCATGGTCACACATCTAGGAAGGGGCCAGGCTGGGACTGAAACCAGGGAGTCCAACTCTAGAGCCCACACAATAATCACTATGCTATATTAAATCTCAAGAACACAGAAAAGGGAGGAACAAACTGCCTAGGTGATCCAGGAAGGCATCAGAGTAGGAGGTCACATCTGAGCTGGGTATTAGAGGATAAAGAAGTGTTCCACAGGCAGCAAAGGTGAGGAAGGATGAGCTGGATGCAGGAACCATAGGTGGAAAGTGAGAAAAGTGCCAGAAGGATAAATTTGGAGTAAGTGAGAGGCTGATATGGCTGGTACATGTGAGAGGAAAGAAGCTAGAGAGGTAGACAGGGGTCAGGACTTGCAGAGCCCTGTAAATCACGCAAATGAGTTTGGACTTTATCCCAAGAACAGCACCATTGAGAGGTTTGAAACAGGGGAATGACATCAACAGATGGGTATTTTTGAATGAAATTTTGGACACAGGGTGGAAGCTGGATCAGAGGCAGCGAGAACAGTTGGGAGGCCCTGATAATAATCCAAGAAAGGGAGGAGGGCGTGGGCTGTGAACTAGGGCAGCAGCGGCCCCGCAGTTGCACAGCCCTGAGGCCCCGTCCTAAACAGCACACAGGTCTTCATGGAGCCAGGCTCATTCAACAAGGGCTGCAGCTTTCAGAAGGAGAAGACAGACAAGACATGTGTCTTTATAGACTGAAATAAAGGGCAACCAGACTGCAAGAAACAGGGATTCAGAAGCCCTTATGTGAGTGTGAAAACAGAGCCTGGGCGGCTGTTTTCTCTCTGTGGAATTTGTGCACTGGAGCCAAGAAAATAAAGTACAGTACAGCATGTGGGCTGCAGACGCCCATCTCCAAGCTGTGGACTGCACACGATTCCTCCACCAATCCACAGGTCCCGTCCTGACACAGTTGTAGATATGAATGACTCTGGACCAGGGAGGAAAGGGGGAAAAACCATTCCAAATCCTGCCTGCTCCCTTCACTGCCACATCAGGTAGGCCAGAGACCCTCCACTCTCCTCTCCTCTGTCTGCCGGTAGAAGCCAGTGAAAGGCCTCAGCACAAGGAGCCTAGAGAAGGAAGAAGAGTCTGAGAGGCCACAGGAAAAGATGCTGGGTTTCTCCTCTACCCATAAGACAGGCTCTCACAATTTCTCTCTTGAGCTTACCGGAAATACACAAACAAAAACATACACACAAGGAAATCAGAAGTTAAACTCATCCCTCCAAACAGGTATTAAGAAGCTCATTAATAAAGGTCCAGTTGGTAATTATATTGCGAAAGATAATCAAAGATAGCCAATTCTTAGCTTAAGAACTTGGGCCTCAAAAAAAAAAAAAAAAGGAAACTTCTCTTATAGGAAATTAGAGACCTGTGTAATTCATTGAAATTTGTAAAATTCAATCTTATTCTCTCTTACGGACCAGCAGAAAACACTGCACCAAACTAAGCCTTCAGCTCACAGAGACCCAGAAAGTGGTACGAATAATAGTTGTTACTATGTGCCAGGCCCTCTGCTAAGAGTTTATACACATTATTTCATTTAGCCCTTATAATAACCCCAGGAGGTAGATATTACATCCCATTTTACAAATTATAGAACTGGAATTTGTATTTGCATATAGCTAGTAAGAGGCAGGACTGGAATTTGAACCTTGGCCTAACTCTAGACCTCATAGCATTTCTAATAAATCCCTCTATAATTTAAACTTGACCTTAACTAATGACCTTGATAAAAGTACTTCCAAACAAGGCTTTGGTCCAAATTCTGAGGATAACTTAGTACTTAATACCTAGCAAGCAAGAATCAAGAGGGATGGGATCTTGTCAAGCTTACTTGTCAAGATATCTTCAACACCTAACAAAGTGCTTGGCATACAAGTACATAAAAAATATTTGTTGGAGCAAGGAAAAAAAAGGAAGAGAAGCCTTCTCTTGACCTCTCATAATTCCATGGACTCCAGTAATTCCTCAGGGGCAGAAACCATCAAAGCCGTGGTCATTCTTGCTCCTTCACTCACCTCTACTAATTTGACAAAACACTTCTAGAAAACAGAACACGATCCCTGTAAGTCCTATCTATCTTCAAGGTCAACCCAAAAGCCCTCCTCTGCTAGTGTTTCCCAAGAGGCCCAGCCCAGCCACCTCAGACTCAGAAAATGTCTTTTGGTTGCATATCTTTTTAGCCCCTTCCATCTTCTGCTTGTAATCTGTTAACAGGCACGTCCTGTTCCTCCAAATAGAATATGATTCACTCAAGGGCAGATAACTGTTCATTCACTCATTCATTCATTCAGCAAATGTATATCAAACAGTCCCAATGTGCTGTTAGGCCCAGAGGACACAATGGTAAACAAGTCATGGCCCTGCCCTCATGGAGTTCAGTCTAGTGGAGCGAGAGACAAGTAAACCAACAATTACAAAGTGTGTTAAATGCTAGAGAACGGTGCTCAGCTTAAAAGATTCTTAAGTAGGGATTCTTGTACCCTGAACTGCATGCAAAATGATGAGCACACAGGAGCACATATTTGCTTTTCTGTGGAGAGAGTCCATTGTTTTCATCAGATTGATTCATAATGGTTAAGAACCACTGATCTAAAGTGAGATCTGGTATACAGAAGTTATACTTATTCAGAAGATAAGTGAGTATAAGGGAAGAATAGTCCAGGCAGAGAGAATAGTGTATAGAAAGGTCTGGAAGTAAGAAAGAACATAACCTGTTCTGAGACCATAAGAAGTTGAGTCTGGAAGAAGCACAGAGCGCAAAGAGAGAAATGGGCAGATGAGGCTGGAGATATAAGCAGGGTCTGGACCACTTGAGGGCCTTGTGGGCCATGCTAAGGAGTTTAGACTTCATCCTGAGAGCAATGGGGAGCCCCTGACAGATTTTAAGCAGGTGAGGGATATATCAGATTTATATTTTGGAAAGATCACTATAGCCACTGTGTAGAGAATGGGTTAGGGATGAGGGAAAAAATAGGAGGCAGGTTGCCCAATTAGAATGCGGCTGCAGTAAATTAGATCACAGATGATGGCGGCCCGGGCTAAGGGTCTATGTCTTCAGCTTCTTTAAATCCTCAGACTCTACTTAGGACCTTGCACCTAGAAGTCTCTGAGAAGTGAAGGGAGCCAGGACAGCACACAGTCCCACACCTCTAGCAGGTACAAGAGTGCAAGCTATAGTTCTTGATCCTAGCAGGCACACCATGTGTACAACTGAGCTCTTTTTAGGTGAAAGACTGCCAAACGGAGCAAGAGGGAGGAGGTGCTTGACAAGATATCTTGACAAGTAAGCTTGAGGAGAAAAAGGGGAAAAATACTACCACAGGAGACTCAATAAGTCGAGAAAATCACTGGCTCCTCTTTCAGGTCATTGGTGTAAACTCCACC